TTTTTTACTGAGAATTAAGATTCACATTGAATTCAATCAATTTCAAATCGACATATACGGAAAAAATTATAGCGATTTATTTTTATATTTCTTTTGAAGAAAAAAAAATCAAAAGACTGTCTCATTTTTTGATCAAATTCACCCCATTCAAAGCAATAAAGCCACTGGAGTTATTGCGTGTGTAAGTGTTAGAAAATACAAAATTAAAAATGAGCGAGAAAGATAAAAGAGGGGTCAAGTTTATGAAATACCGTAACTCCCCATGTATAATACGCCTTCATCCATAATACGCACACCTAAAATTATGCTGAAAGTGTGAGAAAAAAAACTCTACTCATGCTCCAATACGAACATTTAAGAGTGTTTTGGTGAAAATCTGAGAGTTTAGGAAAAGTCGGATGTGTCTAATGGTAATTACGAATGTGTTTGTCGTGATCACGAGTGAGGGCGAAGTTATGCTTCCATACATCTTCATACAGGGGGCCCTCGACTAAACACTAATGCCTACATCAATGAGGAGGTAGTACAGCCCTGGTTAAAGAAGGTGGCTGCAGGAAGACCCTAATCCTGGCAACAGGACCCTGACCAAGTGAGCCTAGTCATGGTTGTCAGACAATATCTGAGACCACACCACCCCTTACATCGGGCCACCTAAATCCCCAGACTGCAACCCCCCTTGATTATTATGTGTGGCGCGCAATTGAGAAAGAGACCAACAAAACTTCTTGTAACACCAAAGATGAAGTGAAGGCAAGGATTATATCAACATTCAGCAACTTAAACAAGGAGACCGTCCAGAAGAGTTACAGGAGATTCCAAAATCATCTGGGGGCCGTGGTTGAAACCAATGGCGATTTTATTGAATGAATTTACTCTTTAGTATTTCAAGATAATTTTGTGTAATTTTGGTAAATATATCTGTTAAAATGCGATGTCAGTGTCATTTCCATCTTTGCATAATTTAGACGATAATTTATCCATCGTTTACTCTGTGTATATATATATATATATATATATATATATATATATATATATATGTCGGTGTGTGTGTCGGTGTGTGTGTCTGTGTGTGTGGGCGCGCGCACGAGCGTGTCTGTGAATTACAAAATAAGATTAAGAATGTATGAATATACATTTCGGGTTAAGTTTCTGAAATGAGAGATGTTGTTTATATCTGAATATTTATAACTAACATTATATCTTTAATAATTCGCAGTGGCGCAATAAGAAGCCTGTGTTGTGTTTCTTTTTCGCTCTTTTGTGATATCGAAACTTTTCCCATAAACGCTGACATTTCTATCGCTTTGCTTATCCATCTAAGACGAAAATGAATCAAGCGATTCCTCGTTACCATCGGAAGATTTTCATAGAAACTAACACGAGACAATTTCCTCTTCTATGAGAAAAAGTAATGAAAACATAAAGAAATCGATCTAAATTTTGTGTTTGTCAATATTACCATAGTTAAACAAAATATATTTTCTTTTTTCTTTTTTTGAGCGGGGGTGATTTCAGATAAAATGATGGTTACATTGTACAGTAAAATTACAGACATTTATCAATTTTGACTCGTATATCTTCCATCTATATTCCGATTGTTTTTAATTACAGTACTCATTGTCACTATTGGCCGTAAATTAAAATCTCAGTTGTTTTGATGAAAAGCAACTGAAATTAAGATTAAAGAATGACTTGTGTATTAGCCGAGAAATTTATGTTAAAAAATTAAAGATAAAGTGGTGTGGAGTCGGCTTATATTTGAGGTCAACATTTTGCCGATGTCCAACATCTTTCTAAAAAAAATAGCCCCAAAATATCTGGTTCGATCGCTTTACGATGACACACTGTTTTACTCAGATTTTATAAGCATGTAACACAATAAATTAGTACTTACAATCTTTATTTTTCAATAGTTTTTTTATGTTAAATAAAATCGTGTTATATCCGAAAGATGGCGCTTTTGTTGCCGACACAAAGAAAGTGAACAGACATTTGTGAAACATGTTGAAACTTCATAAAACAGAAGAAATGTTTAAAAAAAAACATTGTGCAATGAAAGTCCTACCTTCTGTATTTAATAAGTAGTTAATTACATATAGTGTTTGGTTTAATTAACTCCTACGGAGCTACGATCCTGAAATTATTTCCTCCATTAGCGCATATAATGTCTAAATGACGCTGAAAAGCATTTTAGATATCAAAATATTAAAACTTTATGAAACTATTCTCCACTCGTGGGAATTAACAGACCGACGACATTTAAACACAATGTATTCATTAGCTGTCTCTTCTTATACAAGGCATTTGGATATTTGCCTATTTCCACGATATAGCCGTAAATTCTATACAAACAGTTTCTTTTCTCGCACCTTTCGCTGTTCTCGCACTTGTCGCTTCCGGCTCCATGCTTTCCAGCCAAATTTAATCAAATTTAATTTAAATACAATGTCAATCGCTATCGATTGCCATCTTGATTGCTCGTTTCTCTTTCTCCTTATTACTAATGTTTCTGTTTCCATTTCTCCACACGCTAGAAGCTCTTGCGTGTTAGTGACTGTACTGCTTTGCTTGGGGTGATACCGATTAATATATATATATATATATATATATATATATTGTGTATTTAAGCAGCAATCGTTCATTTATGCATGTTTCATTAAAAACGACATACAAGATACTACGGTTAAGCTTTTTATTTAATTTTCTTGTGTTCGAACAAGTGCTTTCATTTATGGACACAGAATGTGTAGAAATACAAATGCTCTATAGTTCCGAGCGCTTGTGGCTATACTTTTAGCCATTATTAAGGATGATTTTATTTTTTCAGTTTAATTGAGTGTGTGCGTTATGTGTATATTTTTAGAGTGTTATAGATGCGTTTTATTTTCCGAACATGAGTTCGGTTTGAGCAGGAATACAGTTACTTTAGAGGTATTTGAACTTATAGATAATGTTCTTGAGTTAGATTAAAAATAATAGAAGCCCTAATCTGGCTCAGTAGGATTATATATATATATATATATATATATATATATATATATATATATATATCAACCTTAGGGTGTTCTTTATTTTTCTACCGTGTTAATCATTAGAAACAATTAGTATGCGTAGCAATTGCAATTAGAGAGAAAAAATACTTATCAAAAATTCACTGTGGTTTATATTCCTCTAACAGAATGAATTGCCATCTCTCAATTTTGCTACCGATTTTCCGGGACACTTATTAAGTTTGAGCAATAATATAATTTTGAATTGGTATATGATTTAGTGAGTAATTGTGTCATCGTGATTTAATAGTATTTAATTAGACGTACTTTTTATTTTATCTATGTTTCTAGTTTAGTTTCATAGGTTGTAAGTACGTATTTCATAAGTTCCTGTTTAAACCGATTTGTGTGTTTATATTTGAGATTTTCTTATCTTTATAAGGCTTAATGGCATAAATACCTTTACGAATTGGCAAAACAATGAAGCAATTTGTCATAAAAGTTCTGATGCAAAAACAACTCTGATTCGTTTTGTTTTATACGTGAAAACTTTACACATCAACATAAATGAGAAAATATAACTGACTTCGGAAAATATTTTTTGCCACAGTGAAAACTTCATATCTGCTTTTGCCTTTTTTGTTTGAAGTCATTTCTATTTTCATAATGTAATTTTACTGTAGTTTGAACGGCTTGTCTTCATGAAACTGGAAAAAAAATAATCACATGATTTAATTTTAAGTCCTAATTTGAAAAATCTGGAAAATGACACAGGCTATTTAACCAAACTAACAGAAATCACGTAAAAATGATTCATTAAGACATCACTGGGTCAGTAATTATGTCTCTGTCATATCTCTATAGCAGGGTTTCTCAAACTTTTTTCTTACTTCAGAGCGCACTTGTAGAACAATTAATATTCAGTAGCACACATTAAATTTTAATAAAGACAAATTAGTCATGAAATTTGAAAATAGGAAAATAAAAAAGAATTCTCCTGAAATAAGTATTTATTTTTAAGATAAGTGGTACAGTTAAGGGACTTATGAAGAATGTGCTATTTCTTTTTAAAGAGGTCGATCGTGATTGATTTAAATCCCTCGAGGAAGGCAAAGGGGAAAGGATTATCAACTCCTTAAAGATTAAGGAATTGAGCAGTCTGTTTCAAATATCAATTAACGAAGACTTGACTTAGCCATGGAAGCGATGTGCTTTGTGTCTGTGGATTTTTAAAAATGCAGATTTTTAAAAATGCAGATTTTTAAAAATGCAGATTTTTTTTTAATATAAAAATAATTTACAAATTAGTCTTCTGTTAATTTAGAGCATGCCTAGTTTCATGCTTCATTAGTGTCCTTGGGCGCACCTGTTGTGAAAAGCTGCTCTCAAACATCATTGACTGTTACTACAATAAACTGTTATCAAATATATATATATATATATATATATATATATATATATATATATATATATATATAGATAGATAGATAGATAGATAGATACGCTTCTTACCTACAGACGCATCGTTTTAGCCTTTGTCTACACTATTATTAATTCCGTGGAATATATTCCCATGAGACCCAATTTTTTGTTCCACTAGTCTTTTTGTGTTACGTACTCAGAGTGGCATTCCATTTTCGACTTATTCCATTTGCCAGGAGGAAGTTCCACTCAGACGGCTATACCTTCAGGATTGTTCATTTGTGATAATGTCCCTCGCGAGGATGTTTTACTGAACACTACAAATTTAACCTCTGCAAGTCAAGGACCAACCATCGTCTATTCTCATGATATCCACTTTCTGCTGCTTACTCTTATGATCGCGTCACCCCAACTCATTCAGTAATCCGACAAGCATTGAACCTTGTATTGAGGGAAATTTAGCATTAAAAATATTATACGCCAATCAAATTAATTAGCTTAGCAGTTGTGTAAAATTCAAATACTTACTTGTAATTTTGTTTCAGTTAATATAGTTTTCGGATCATCAATCGCCGGGAAATGAATACAGGCATTCATATCACGTTGAAATACCAGTTCCCCTACGATCACCAAAGTTAAACAACGTCGAGCCTCGTCAGTACATAGATGGGTGACCTCTTTGGAATCCTGAGTACTTTAAGCTTGCATGTGCGGATGGAATAATGGATAATTCCTCGGAATTGTTAATCGGAGAGCCAATTTCAATTCCAGTCGTGTTCTTTATATTTACTTACGCATGAATCCCCATTGGGGAAAGGTATGACTCCACCCTTCTAGCTATGGGTTAATCAGTAAGAATTTTTCACTAAATCATGATTATCTCAAAACAATTCTTATATTCTAAAAATATTGTTTGGTATTGAATAACCTACAAGGGGTTGATAAGCCGTAAAAAGTCAGTCAGTGAATAGTATAATTAAAATAATATCTCTAGAAGACTAATTAGAAATGAAAAAAGCAGTAACAATAAAATCACTAAGAGAATTGTCTGTGATTTTCTAAGGATATTTACAAAAATATATCCAAATACTTATACGCGTATATGTGTCCTTGTGTTTATAAATGTATGTAGGTATATATGTATGCATATATATGCATGCATGTGTGTGCAAAATAAAATATACGTCGAAATCAAATTCGTAAGTTTTTATTTTTTTAAATAATTTCAAACTAGTTAAGGTGATAATGCCACTAAGACGCAAGGTGGGTTATTGTGGGTGAAAGAGAAGGAGAATACTTAGAGCGAAGAAAAGGACGACGAATGAACATATTTCGAGAAAGCAGAAGATGGCGATTGACGTTGCATTTAAATTTTTGAAGATTGTAAGTGTCAGAGAAGTAAGCAAACGGAAGAAAGTTTCAAAAGCGAGTAATGTGAGAAGAAGAAACTATTTACGGTTAGAAGTAGATATTTCAATAGTAAAACAATGAGACCTACTTGCCAACCAAGTGTGCACATTTAAATTCATACAGTCGAGGTAGCAGAAATTAAAGATTATTAGAACAACTGGCATATTTCTAGAATAGACAGAGGAACATCACAAGATGGCGATAGGGGAAAGTGACTGGAGTCGACATGCCAGGTCAGGACCTATAACATTATTATAACATTTGTTTGTATTTTGGCGAGAATCTCGAGAAATATAACCAGTGACCTCTTTGGAATCCCGGCTACTGTAAGCTTGGATGTGCCGATGGAATAATGGCTAATGTGGCGGTAATATTCAGTGTACGAACGAATGATGGCATTTAAAAATGTGCAAGTACATGCAAAATTAATGAGCCAAATCATCCAAATTAACGAAATACTTCTTAAAAACGTGATTAGACTAGGCACGATTATAGTTTTATGAAATATCTTCGCCGTTGACGAAAGTACGAGATCACTTTTGTCATTTGCAAAAGGAAGACATGTTTTAAATGTCAAAACAGCTTTTACAAAACATAATCTTTGGGCAGATATTTTTTTTTGTCATATCTGCTTGATTAAATATATTTTCAACAGAACAATGGTAATCGGTGTTTAAGAGCTACAAAAAAAAAGAAATTGTTCTTGAATGCTCAAGGGAGGGTTTATAAATATTTTAACGTAATCATTACGACGAGAGAAAAACAAATAACACGTAATAAAAATGCTTGCAAAATGAAATATCACTGACTCGCAGATAACTAACTTCTAATATAATGAAACACGAAAATAACTTTCATAAATTCATCGGAAATTAATGTTAATGCTTATGGTCGTTTGAACTGAAACACTGGTTCTCGCCTGGTCATCAATGTTGGTCGCTATTCAGATGGGTAAATGTTGTGGGTGACCAGGGACTGTAATAAGCGACGCGACTGGAAAAACAAAATAGCGATGGGTATAAACTCGCTATTCATTCGAATAGAAATCAATATGTGAAAGTTCGAGTGGATTAACAGGTTGAAAGATTTATATGGAGTTGGGGGAGTGGTAGTTTACTTTCATGATTTCGTGTGCATATGTGAGTTGCGGAAGATTAGTAAACTTGGATTAGAATCCGAATTAATGTTAAATACAAGCTTCTGCAAATTAATTGAAACAAAACGAATAACCCCGTTATTATTTACATTTTTTACGTATTTTTCCAATGAAACATTACCCAGTACACATACTAGTACCTCGTATGTCTATTCCACGAAATTGTTCCTTGCAGATTGACCACAGATTGGATTTATATCAGGAGAGTTTCCTGGCTAGTCTATAGTACTTTGATTTGCTCACTGGTAAGGCTTGCCAGCGTGTTTGTGCAGCGTTACAATTTTCGTACGCTTCCTCGGAGTAACGTCTATCGCAGACAATGGCCATGGGACAACTAATCGAGAGTCGGGACAATAGCGTCTGGGCGTAATCAAAATCTGATGCCATCACAGATGTCGCAGTATGTTTTAAGGCCAAACAAATTTCAAACACGACGGAAATAGATTCATATTACTGCACACGGCTGCAAATAACCTAATCAGAGGAAAAATAGAAATCGATTACATCCTGTCATTCCAGTGGATCTAAAACTGATCTTATGGTGAAAGAAATGAAACTAAAGGGTTGTTTCAATTAATTTGCACAAGTGTCTATATATATATATATATATATATATATATATATATATATATATATATATATATATATATTATGTAAAATATTTGTTTTTCTTACGTTACGTTAACGTGTTTCGTCAGTTTTCGGCGCGATGTTCAAAAGAAATAAAACGTTTTATTGATGACGACGGATAATCGGCGATACATGTCAACGCCTCCTCCCCCAGTATTAGCATGGGATGAACTTGACAAAAGAGTGAAAAAAAAATGAAAAAAGTGCTCTTAGAGTCACTGAAAAAAGAATGGAATCAATTATCAAACTTATATTTTGAGAAACGTCTGCAACGAATGCCAAAAATTTGTGCTGCAGCAATCAAAACTAAAGGAGGTTTTACGAAGAGGAAATTTTAATCATAAAATCCTTTTTTTCATTTTTTCATAATATAATTTCTAATAAAAATCATGTCTCACTTTTTTTTAACAATGTATAATAATTTTCTTTTATTTAAAGTACAAAACAACTACTTTTTAGGTTAATTTAGAAAATTTAACATGGCTGACCTCAAACTTTTGAACTGTAGTGCATATCTATACACCGGTTAATATTTCGTTTTTAGACATACATTAAAGGAACATTAATTTCACATTTGAAATCCCTTCGCTATAAATTATTATATTTTTATTTAAGTCATTTTGAAATTAAAAAGGAAACCTTATAGTGATATCTATCTAGATCATATCGGTGACGTTAGGTATCTCGACGTGGTGTAACGGTTAGCAAGTTTGTCTCACCAAATTCATTACGATTGAGTAGTGAGTTCGATCCTGACTGGGTGCTTAGTGCATTCACACCTGTAGCATATCCAAACGAAGCCGAGTAAAATCATTATATCGGCCACATTCAGGATATAATGTCACTTTGAACTCAATGATTCCTTTGTTGTTGGTAAATTATATATAAATCTACAGAAGATTTTAAATTCTGAATTTTTTAATCTAGTAAACTAATTGCCAATGACAGCCAGAGAGCGCACGCCGCTCTGTTATTTATCCCATGCTTTGTGGGGAGAAGATGTTGATTCACACATCCCAAACGGTTTATACGAAATTGAATGCAAAGAACTCGACCGGAATTCGAACTCAATCCCTCAAGCTGCTAACCATTACATCACCTTCACATCGAAGTCATTCCTGATTGTTTTATATATATATATTATATATATATATATATATATATATATATATATATATATATATATATATATATATATATATATATATATATATATAATCAATTCACCCCAAACAAAAAGGTGATAATGTCACTACGACGCAAGGAGATTGAAAGAGAATTAAAAAACGTTAGAACAGAACCAAAACCCAATCCTAAAATGGAAAGTGATAAACCTCTAATCCTGTTCAAAAAACCCGTCAGAAATGTGAAACGGGTGTTTTTAATATTCTGAATTCCGTAGAGAATATATTTGATTGGATTCAGTCAAAAAGTCGTCTGGGAGTCTTACACCAGCTACTATCGGAAAATTCCTGGAGTTGATTTTTAAAAACCAAGAAATATATACCATTACACTTGAACATCATTCTGATATTATATAAACTTCGCCTCAATCACTTTTGAAATAAATCATTTGGAAACGGATAAAGTGCTCCCAGGTCATTTTGCGGGACTCCGAAAACTGCCCAATAATAATTTATGTATTACATGTTCCATTTTGATCTCCTGATAAACCCGATAACTATCATGAATATTATGAGAGTTATCATATTGAACCGACTTTAGATCGTCCTTCAAACTCTCACGCGATTCAAAAGCTGTTGTTCGACATCATTTCTCAAGTCTCGATAGCTCGTTTCCTGAGCTTCATCCAAACTTGCCTGTAGACACGGAGCTCTATTTAAAAATAAAATCTAACGGAAGTTTTCTCACTGATGGATTTCAACACATTGAAAATTGATATCCAACAAACGCACGTAAAAGTTTTCAGGCTTGAATACGATATTCAAAATCGCCTCAACGTTATCCAAAGCCAAAATTTAAACTTTTTTCTTCAGCCAATGAATTTAAAATGAAATTAAAGGATCATCTTTTCCGTTCCACATTTCCGAAAACCTGTTATTTGAAAGGAACATTAACGACATAGGTTTTGTGAGATCTAGACCAACGCAGAAGCCGGAAGTTGCCATTTTTCTTTCTCTTACCACATAACAAGGATAAAACTATTACCCAACATCAAAAGAAAACCAAATTAATTGAAAACTGATAACTGTAAGAAAGAACCTTTCCAGTTAAACCTTCGTATGTACACTACTTCTTTGAAATAATTTCATATCAACTTAAAAAATAACGCTCGATCCACTTAGAAAATAGCTATTTTGGGTAATTCAATCCTACAAATTTAATTCACACGGAAATATTTATTCTTTAATTACAAGAGAAAGGAACATCATCAAAGAAGTTCACACTACATTTTCCTTTATTGAATTCATGTTTTTTGAGCATATATTGTACGTAGATGAATAAATGTATTATTTTTGATATGTCGATGTTCTAT